AGCATTACCCTCACAGTGCTTGTGAGAACTGAAGGGAGATCAGGCATGGAAAATGCATAGAGCAGCTCTCAATCAATGTTACAGAAAATAAAGCTGTGTCTGGATTTACTGTCCTGTAGACACTCCAGGGACACACAGGGACCAAGGAAAGCAGGTGGACTGTAGGTGAGGTCGGTAGAAAGTCTCCACGGAGGACTAACTGGGACAGGAGGAGAGGCCAGAGGGGGGGGACAGCCTGGGGAAGGGAGGTCTAGAACACTGGGTGAGGGGGTCTCACAAAACTCTGAGCCTGTGGAAAAAGGGCCACAGCCGCTCCCTGGAGAGCCTCCTTCCGTTCTGCCCTTTGTTGTCACCCTGCCCTCCCGCAGCCACGGGGCTGCAGCTGGGCTTCTACAGCCAGGCCTTCCGCAAACACCCACTNCACTTCTCCCTAGGAATTATCTGGATGCTCTGTGTTCTTGGGAGGAGTATTTTGTATATTCATTTCTAGAAGCTCCCAAGTGAAAGAAGTGACCTCTGTGGAGAGAGCAGAGCCACAGTGACCTGGGGAGCTCTCTCTTCTCTCTCCCCTCCCTCCGCCCTGGGCCCCCAGCTCCAGCCAGTGCCTTAGGCTCTCCCTGGACACTAGCAGCTGGAATGCAGGGGCCAGACCTCCAGCCTCGGACAATAAAGTCCAGTCACCGAACAGGGCCAAGTGACATCTGCACGGCGTCCGCTCCCTCTGTCCACAGCAGGGAGGGGCTCTCCTTCAGCAAGGCTGGTGCAGACCTGCCCCTCCTCCATCTGCTCAGAGTGAGCCTGAGGCTGCTCTTTGCCCACCCACAGGAGGCAGTGCCACCCCGTCCTCCTAGCAACCAGGCTGCAAAGCCTGGAGTCCCCATGACCTCCGGAGGAGTGAGGGGCACCTGTTGATAAACATCATCATCTAGGGAAATGCAGGCTGTGCTGTGGCAGAGAGTAACTCTGGGGTGGGAATGACTTTGGAGATGCCGTTGCCTTTTCCAAGGAGTGACATGTGGGCAGGTAATGAAAATGAGTCTCTTCTAAAGAGTCAGGGTGGTACATTCCAAACAGATGTGTCATCAAGAGTAGAGAACATGAGTGTGGGAAGGGCCAGCTGCTGAAGAGACAGAGGAGACCAGTGTGGGAGCCCAGGGACCGTCAGGCAGGCCTCCCCTACCTGCTCCTTTAGCTTGTCCCACGCCAGCACCTACCCTGGTCCAGGCCTCCGTGACCTCTAGCCCGGGCTATGACAGTCAACTCCAGTGCCCTCCCCTCTGCCACCTCTCCCTGCTCAGCCACCTGGCAAAGAGCAGCCACACAGTATTTCCCAAAGCCAGGGCTTCTCCCAGCTCAGACATTGTCCTTCTGTTCAAAGAGCAGTGTCCAAACTTCCCGTCTGGGAAATTCAAGCCCTCCCAGACCACACTCCCATCTCCCCTTCCTGCTTCCCCTGCTTCCTAGTGAGTTCCCACCACCAAGGACTTTTGAGGTCCATTCCTTCTCAATCTCTGTCTGGCTCTCCTATTATGTTAGCGCCAGAGAAGGACCCACAATGCTGTGGGCTTCTGTTTTACTGGCATGTACCTCCAGCAAAGGTCCTAGAATTGGGTGACCTCTGCCCTAGTGTGAATGAACACGACTTGTGTGTGTGTAGATAGTGTGAAATGTTTAATAAGCATTGTGCTGGGTATGTGGTGCTAACACACACATCTGCCAAGGACCTCAAGTGGGTGACCCAGCAGGTCAGGGATGCAGCATGTGGGTGTGAGTCATGGGGAAGCCTCACTGTTCCTTCAGGCAATTTCTGAGGGTCCAATCAGCAGGCCCCAGTGGGTGAGTAACCAGAGGCCCCAGCACAGGTGGCGGCTGGACGCACACCTCCCGCCATGAGTCATGCAGCAGATGACAGCAGGGCTGGGCCTCGAGGGAAGCTCCGTGGAGACCTAAGGTGGTTTTCCCCAGAGAAGGAAGCAGTACCCCTGCTTCAATTTCTCTCCGTCCTGATGGGTAGCGTGTTTATGCCAAATCTAAATGCATTTTGTTCCTACCAAAGCACTCAAGCTGTGCCTAATAATTTCCTTCTTGCCTTCTGAACACATGCCAATACTTAAGCAGCACAAGGAACTGCTAAAACCTCACATTATGACTGAGCTTATTTTTCACAAGTGTCTCTGGACTGGACATTCCAGGACAGGGGATACTGTACCCTGTCCAGCCCCATAGGTGCTGAATGGTCAGTCACTCAGCCGTGCTGCGCTTCCAGCATCTACCACACATGCTCTTTCAATGTTCTGCTTGGGTTTTTAATTCCAAAAGAGACGCTGGCCCAGTTTACTCATTTGGTCATTGCTCAATAGACACGTATTGAGCTTCTGTTGTGTGCCAGGCACCAGTGATACCGAGAGGGACGTCCTAGGCCTCAATTTCCTCCCCCATCCAGGGGCATAATCGCAGCATTACCCTCACAGTGCTTGTGAGAACTGAAGGGAGATCAGGCATGGAAAATGCATAGAGCAGCTCTCAATCAATGTTACAGAAAATAAAGCTGTGTCTGGATTTACTGTCCTGTAGACACTCCAGGGACACACAGGGACCAAGGAAAGCAGGTGGACTGTAGGTGAGGTCGGTAGAAAGTCTCCACGGAGGACTAACTGGGACAGGAGGAGAGGCCAGAGGGGGGGGACAGCCTGGGGAAGGGAGGTCTAGAACACTGGGTGAGGGGGTCTCACAAAACTTTGAGCCTGTGGAAAAAGGGCCACAGCCGCTCCCTGGAGAGCCTCCTTCCGTTCTGCCCTTTGTTGTCACCCTGCCCTCCCGCAGCCACGGGGCTGCAGCTGGGCTTCTACAGCCAGGCCTTCCGCAAACACCCACTAGCAGGCGGCAGGGCCGGGTGCCAAGGACATTGTGTGGTGAATAAACTAAAGAAGGGAGCTAGCAGCAGGGAGCTCGTGGCTGGGGGTGGAGAACTGATCCTTCAAGATACTTTCTCCTTTGTTGCCTACCAGAAAGAGGACTCTAGCTCACCCAGAATCCTTCCTCTACGTTTAGATGATGGTTCTCTCAGGAACATAAGGGGAGCTCCCCTTACTCTTCTGCCTAGTGAGGTCATGTGCCTGCGAGGGGAGGCCAGGGGCTGCCTCTTACGAAAGCATTTAGGGGAAGGCCAGTGACACAGCCACTTCTAGTCTCTCTAAACTTGTTTTTGCTGGAATTGCCACTCTGCATGCTGATGGGGCATCTGGAGGGATTCAGGGTTGATTTTAAACTTTTCCAGGGTGTATTTTTAGTTGTTCAAAGTCCTCCAGAAAACAATGATCTCTTTTCATTATAATGGAGCTCAAGCTGAGTCATCTCTGTGGGTGTGAGGGAACATTTGTGCAGTTGTTTTTCCAAAGATCAGCTCTGGAGGTGCGCCGGAGGAGCAGGCTGGGAACTGCAAATCCCTAGAGTCTTTAAAAAACAAAAATGTCGTTTTTGGGGGATTTCACTTCCCTTTTATTTTTGAACTGCATTCCAGAGAAATCTCTGGTAGTGCAGGATTAGACAAAAATCACTGGATTAGATAAAATTAAACCCAAGAGGTCTGGGGAAAATCCAGGTGTAGCTGAAGACGCACCCAGACTGGCCTCTGGACCCCAGATTCAGAAATGAAGGGCCTCAGAAGCTTGTCTCTTAAGTAAGCCCAACTGGCTTCACTAAACAGGGAAGGAGATGGAGAAGGTTCTGGCATTCTCTGGAGGTTTCTGGCCTGATATGAGTTTGGAGGATTAGGTAGGGCCTTGCTGACACAGGCCTGAGACCTGATGCTAAATTTGTGCTACTTCAGTCCTTTTCAGTGCCCACCTCCTTAAAGCCATAGCCAGGTGGCCTAGAAAATCTTCCATGTTCTCTCCTCATCTCTTTGTTGACTCTTTATTCTGGAATTAGCATCATCACTTACTTCGTCTCATCTCCTCATTTTGAGAAGTTATTTGGGTCAGTGTCCAAGGTCACATGGGTGTTTGTCAGTGGAGTCATTGCCAGGAGACAGAACCAAGGGCCCTATTTTTAGCCCAGCTTTTTTGAGGGTGGGGAGCCGAGAGCGTGAGACATCAGCTAAATGGATTCGCCCTCTTACATTTGTCCGTAGGCCCAATGAAGACTGGGCTTCAGGGTGAGGTGGAGGGGAATAAACAGGACATGACAGTAAGTGGAGAGAGAAGCTGCCCTCACACATTCGGAAGTTAAAAGGGACATGCATGCAGATCAGAGCAAAGGTGCCTTGAAAAGCATTTTATATCAAAGGGATGCTTAGCACCAAGAGGTGAGAGAAGGACACATAATCAAATGTATTATTAATGTCCTCACCAAACAACATGGCAATTTTAGGCCATCTTGCTTAAATAAATATTCCTGAGGAGCCTCATTATACAAAGAAGAGGAGGAGGGAATTGGAATCATTTGGAGACGGCCAGACACTGGGGAAGCTAAAGCTAGGAGAGAAGATGAAGGAAGTAAATGTTTGGGCCTAAACAGTAAAAACAGGAGTTAGTGTCCATAATCTTCTCTACAACATTTTTCACTTAACAACTGGAGAAAAATACATAGTTTTCTCTTTGGCCTTGGCAGGCCATCTCTTGCAGCAGGAGAGATTCCTGAGTGCAGAGATCCATTCAAATCTTGATTTCTTTCCCCAAAACCCGGGAGAATTAACCAAATACACAGCCATTTTAAAAGTACGAGGAAATGCTAAGGGAATGGAATGACTAGTTCAGTGACACTGGCAATTATTTAAAGCACTTCAGGGCTCATGCTCATTCATTTCTCAGCTCCAGAGTGGGAGAGAGCACGGGTAGGGGAGGGGTTCCAGGAGCAGACTGCAGGTGGGGAGGGGACTCAGGTACTGGGGGAGGCCGTGGCAGTGGGAGGCGAGGAGGGAGGGGAGGGAGGGACCATCCAGGTCAAATTCTGGGATGCAACAATTGGTTCCAGTACTAATTGGCTGTGTCTGATTTTAGGTAAATGACAAACTCCCCAGGCTCCCAAATCCTCATCTGTAAAATGAGGTGACCCAACTCGGTTTTCTGCCTCCAGCACCAAAATTCCACGAAAATGTTTCCAGTGCAGAGCGGACACCAAGGCTGTGTCTGAGCGGCGCCGTCTGCCTCTCGGCACCATCCCACTCCCGGGGGCGGGCGGGAGCCGGGGGCGCGCCGGCCCGGACAGGACGGCCGCGCCAGGGCCCGCTCCGAGCCGCTGCTTCACCGGCTTGGGGAGGGGGCTCCCCGACCAGGCGCCTCGTTTGCTGGAGCCCCCCCAGGCCCGCCCCGCCCCTTCACAACCTTCGTAATTTACTGGAGTCGAGGGGGGATTTAAAATACGGAGAATACAACCCTGATGTCATTTGGCTGCTATCCCGACCTTCACCGTGCCGCTGTACTCCATCTTCCCGTCTTGGAACTTGCTGCTAAAGACATTTGCCATTTTGTAGATTCTAGAAATAAAGACTGCAGGTGAGACGGGATGGGAATCGCCATCCTGTCCTGGGCTCCTAGCTTAAACCACTGTGCCCCTTGCTCTTCCACTTTATCTCACTGCTTCTCGTTTCTTTTCAAAAAATCAAGGCAGCTGCCAGGTCCATCGGAGACCCCCTCCGCCTCGAGCGTTCTAGACTAGTAGGACCTGGTGAGGTGCAAGCACCCGGGGGATGTTACACTAAACGGCGTTTGGCTACGACCAGGGGAGTGTGTGCGACTCTAATGCATGCACGACTTTGAGACGATAAGGAGGAATGACAAAGGACAGGAAAGAGGACGGAAAGGCAGCTCCGGGCTGAAGAGGGAAGGAGGGCCGCAGCTCAGGAATAGAGACCCGAGGGCAGAAAGACGCCCATGATGCCCCCGGCCCAGGTCCTCCGACGCACCAACCCCGGCCAAGCCCTGGCGGCGGGGCGCGCGTGCGCAGTGGCGCGCTGCGGCAACGGCCACGGCTCGCGGAGGCGGCCCAGACCGGCTAAAGCCGGTTAGAACCGGCAGTGCCCACTCGCCCTGAGCTGGCGCTTCACAAAGGGAGGCGGCGGCTCACGACCCGCGTATCCTTGCGCGGGGTGGGGACGGGGAATGGGTGCCTGTGCCGCGCCCCTCCCCCCGCTGCCCTCCTCCTCGGACCGCGGGGCCTCTGGGGCCTCCGGACACCTGTTCCGGCCTCGCTTCTGGGGTCCGGGCCCCGGGAGACCGACCCTTTGGAGCCAGTGGGGCCGCGCCCACCCCTCCCCTGCTTTTCCGTGTAGACGTTAGAGCCGCGTGGATACCCGTGTCTCGCGACCCCCGGCGCCATCATGCTTTCCAAATACCCAGGCCTTGGCGGGGAGGCAGATCCCTTTTCTCTCCCCGGGGACTCTACAGTGTCCGAGACGCTGCAGCGGGGCTCATGTCGGTGCTTAAGTCAGCTCTTTAGGTGGGAAGCCCCGGGGGTGTTTTAAGAGTAAAATTGCTCAAGCCGAGGTATAAGGAAAAAGCTTTGGGTTAGAACAAAAGCCTTTAGTTTTATTCCGTATCCAATTTAAAAATTTTGAAAATGGAGTTAGAATTTATATCTCTATCGATATCTGCAAAACAGACTTGGGAGAGCAAACTCGTAAAGGTTCACAAACACGGGAACACGTTAACGTTCCCAGAGTGGCTGCCCAAGGTCGCCGTGTCTTTGGAACCTAAACCTTGGCCGTTTGGGGTACTTTAAAGGGGACACTTAAGGTTTTGACAGCGGACTTGGATTTTGTTAAGTTTAATGAGAGAAGCCTGGAAGCTTAGCAACGATTCGCGTTTGGACAGATCAGAAAATTAACCTAGGCTTCATTTTAAACCTCTAAGTAGTTAACCAAAAGGAACCTGGTCTAGCTGACATTTCGTAACAACAAAAACTTTAACCATGTAAAATAACTAATCCAAGTCACCCCAATGCCTCAGATACAGAAAGACTGAGTTGGGGCTGCGCCTCTTGCGGGAGGGTCAGTGTATCGTGGCTATTTGAGACCATTTTAGAAGTGAATGTCCACACTTAGAACTTTCTGAAGCAGATCACACAGCTGCTTGGATTTCTTTCATAAAAGAGCAACCTAAACGCGTGTGATAAGCACATAATCAACCTGCAGGACTCGAGGCAGTTTGTGGAAAACTGACACCTCCAAAATGGCTGCGGTCTGACGCTTTCGCATAACGGAAGGCAAAGCCTCCGCAAACCCATTTGAGCCTTCCTTAAAAAAGTACTAAAATAGTGCGTACTGTATGTACTCCAAAGGTATGAAAAGCATTTTAAAAGCTACTAAAAAAGTCCCAAGTAATGTCTCTGTGAGCTGTTTGGTCTATTTAAATGTGACTAGATCGTTTTTTCCTGAATTTTCAGCTCAAATCTACTTGCTAATAAGTTTCAAATAGTTCCGGGCACATAATAAGGTTGCATAAAACTTACGAAAAAGTCTAGAAGGGTTTGTAATCCAGATTCTATTTTTAACTCTTCCGGGGACTATTTTTGCTTCCCTCACAAAGCGGGCGGAGGGTTATGGGAATCGGAGGTGTGAGCCGCCTTTTCACTATAAATATGCCTCCCCGGGCTCTGCGGCAGGCATTCAGGCAGCGAGCGCAGAGAGAGCTCTTGAGGTAGAAGCTTTCGTTTGGGACCGCAGATAAGTTTTATTAAAAAGATAGAAATTACTATAGCTAATTTTGTTAAGGAGAGAAATTAATATAAATCTTTAGAATTTGTAAGTAGTGAAACATGCTTGAGACAATCTTAGCGGTAGATTCTTTGACTTAAGATGTTACTTAAAAGAAAATGTGAAGACAGTTTATAAGAAAAATATTTCTGGAATGTGACGGAGGTTAAGAGCTGAAGCTTCTTAAAGGAGCAAAATTATATTGCTGTAGAGTTAGGACTGCGAAATTCAGGGTTTTAAAAAGCTCTAAATTGAAGGTGACATTAGTGTTAAAACGTAGGTGGTATAAATAGAACCTGAACGTTTAAAAAAAGCTGCAGGAGATAAAATATTTTAAAGGCCATCTTGAAAAAATTAAATTGAAGGCGATTTACTAGATGACCTTGAAATACATGGTGGCGTAAAAGTGTGAAGCCCAGTTCTTAAGGCATTTGCTAAATATTGACGGAAATAGTAGTGGTAGGGTAAATTCGGACGAAGATTAGAAATTCGAAGTGGAAAACTCGGAAGATAGAAACACAGGAAGGTGAAGAAGAGAGAAGATAGGAAAACCAGAAAATAAAACATGCCTTTTAGAAAGAAGACAGAAAAACGGAAAACCAAAGGTAGATTTAGACAAGCTAGAAAACCGAAGCAACTAAGGGCGCAGATACAGATGTAGGAAACGAGAGAAGTTAGAAACGAGTGGAAACGCCGTCGCGATAGTTACAGTTACTAAAGATAAAAATGAAAAGCTAGGGTAACTATTGAATACAAGTACACAAGATAGAGATTTTTAAAAAGCTTTAAGGCCGAAAAGTTGGATAAACTACCAGGAAAAACAGGAAATTGATCTTGTATACTAAGAATTTATTAACAAAGCTTACGAATTTTGTTCAGAAGTTCGATTGAAAAAGATGAGGTGAAACTACCGTAGACCAGGACCAACTTAGAAGACTATCCGGAAGCTAGAAGGAAAAGCAGTTAAAAAGCTACTAAGAGGACTGAATTTAGGAATTAAGGTAGATGAATTTTGGAGAGCTAATTGAAAGGCCGTGTATCCCGTACCTTAGTTTTCTTTGGCAAATTGAAAGGACTTTGGTAACTGAAGTAATAGAAGATGAAGTAAGCAGCTTAACATTTTGCCTTGGACTTTGAGCCGAGATTTCCGAACCTCGAGGACTAGCATTGACGGCCGAGCAGGTGCTGGCGGAAGTGGATTCAGTGAATCTAGCAGGACAGGAGCAGCAGACAGGATTCCGGGGACCGGTGGTGAAGCTAGGACCGCGCAGCGAGCGCAGATGGTGGTGAAGATAGGCGCGGAGCCCGGGAGCCGGTGCGCTGAGAAGGCAGCTAGGCAGGAGGAGCGGCCGGCCCGTTTGGAGGTGACGCTAGGAGAGGATTCCGGGAAGGCGGCGCGGCGCGGAGGCGCAGTGGAGGATGTAGAGGGGCCCAGAGCGGCGGCCGGTGTGCGCGGCGCGGGGAGCGCAGTGGTGCGAACCCGGGAGGCCGGCGGCAGCGCGCCCCTCTGGGCACTTTATGGTAACCGTATCCGCGGCGCTGTGCCGAGTACGGGGGGAGTCGTCCCGGGGGCGCAGGCCGGTTTCCGGGTGTTGCAGGCTTCTCTTTTTCAGGCTTATTTTCTCATGCGTCTTGTCTGAAGCTTTTGAGGGCAGACTTCCAAGTCTCGGAGGAATGGTAGATGGCAAGTTTGTTTCGTTTTTTAAGAGGGAAACCAAGTGAATTAGAACAACTTGGAGAAAATTTCGGGAAAGAACTTTTTTGGCTTGGGGTAATGAAGCATTTCAGTTACGTGAATGGACCTTTTTTCTCTCCTCACCCTGTATTAAACTTTTCTAGATGTGGAGTTTGGGTGTGTAACTCGGGAAAAAAGTGGGGACTGGGGGGGCAAAATAAGTTTTGAGTTCTTTTCCCCTTAGGTCTGTCTAGAATCCCAAAGGCAAATGACTCAAGGTAACAGAAAAAAGAAAATCCAGTATCAGGATAAGCAGACCACCACAGGTTTACAGTTTCTAGAAACTAGAGCGCAACCAGCTCTCACTTTGAGGTCTGTGGCGGAGCTGTCTATTGAAGAAATGGCTGGTAGTTAACTCTTTTTTCCACCCTTTAATAAGATTTTTAAAGTGAACTCCCTTTCACCTGAAGTCTATTGTGGGGTGTCTTAAAAGGGAAGAGGGTGGGGGAGGAAATGTTTTTTTCTAAGATTTTCCACAGATGCTATAGTACTATTGACAAACTGGGTTAGAGAAGGATTGTACCGCTTTGCTGTTGGCACGAACACCTCCAGGGATTGGAGCTGCTTTTTCCCTTGGAAGCGTATTCCCAGTTGAAGCTGAAATGTACAGCGCAGTGCAGCTTTGGTTCATACTCAGTCATCTCAGGAGCGCTTCAGAGGAGCTTGACTAGGCCAGATGTCCAAGTTAAGTTTTCACATAACGTGACTTTTAAAATACCTTTTATTAAAGGGGAGGGGCAAACTTCCGCAATTAGTTGTCAGTGGCCTGATAATGGTTGGGATTGGGAGGGTTGGGTTTAGGTAATTGTTTAGTTTATGATTTCAGATAACTCATGCCAGAGAACTTAAAAATACTTAGGATGGAAAACTAAAGAAATTTCAACTTCCAAGTTGGCAAGTAACTCCCAATTCTCCAGTTTTTGTTCCCCCCCAAGTTTTGAATTGGGCAGATGGGGAAGTACCTGAAGATCTACTGGATTCAGAGAGTAGGGCTTGGGGAAGGAAAGCGTTGGACTGGGGGTTGGTCTAGCCCACTGGGCTGACTTAAACTCGGGAATTTTTTAAACGCTGAAGTTGTTTGGATATGGCAGTGTGTGGTTCTCTTTTGGAATTTTTTTCAGGTGATTTAATATAAACTTAATACTACTATAGGAGCTTCAGAGCAGAGGAAGTGGCTTAATGATCCTCAAAGGATTTCTTCTGATGGTAGCTTTTATATTATCAAGTAAGATTTTATTTTCAGTTGTGTATAAGCAAGCTCTTTTTCTAGTGTAGGAAAAGTATTTTTCCTTTGACTGCAAAACAAGATGTTAAGGTATGCTTCAAAATTCTTAATTGTGTATTTTAAATTTGTATTTTAAGTATTTGTAAATCTTAACTGATGGAAAGGGTGGGCTTTTGTTGATGAGGGAGGGGAAACTTTTTTTTCTGTAGACTTTTTTCAGATATCATCTGAGTCATAACCAGCCTGGCAATATGGTGGCCTAGATGGAAGGGAACAGCTCCTTGGTGAATGATAAGTAAAAGGCAGAAAAGCTTATATTTCATACCTCCATTGGGAAAAAAGCATAACCCTGAGATCCTTACTGCTGACGAACACATCTGCATATTCAAAAACAAATACTAAGCGAATGAAAGCTATCAATTTATAAAGTTAATGGAATCTACCATTTTAAAGTTATGGCTTACCAAGCTATACCCACAAAAATAATGAATTGATGAGAAGTTAATGAATTGATGAGAAATATAATGAATTGAAATAAAATGAATTGATGAGAAATAAGATGATGATAAAATGAATTGATGAGAAATACAATGAAGATGTCCATCTCAAAATACTGCTTTTACAAAAGCAGAATAAAAAGTGATAATGAAATGCTACATTAACCTTGGAATAAAAGAAGCTGAAATAATTCAGAGATGAGTGGGATCAAGTGGATTGAGGAGGCCGTGCTGTTTGCCAATCTTTCATTTGCCTCAGGCAGGTGTCTCTTCATGATCAGAAGAGTTGCTTCATTTCATCTGGGAGCAGAAAGCAAGCAGCTGTCCACAGATAAGTGTGACTTGCGTCAGCAGTACTGCATGTTAGGGATGAGTGCATTTTTTTAAGAGCAGTGCAGGTCTTAAATACTGAATCCCTTCCATATGGGATTCCAGATTGTGGGGAATTCTCCCATCCAGCCCTTTTAAAATTACGCAGGATTTGTATCTGTGGGCCTCATGATGGGATGGATAGTGCACCTCACTCCTTTAGAGGCATGTAATTTCTTAAAAGCCTCTTCAGAGTAGTACTTTAAAAGTACAATAATATAAAACTAAGGAGATTCTCTGAAAACACTAAGAAGGGCATAATGTGCTGTTAACAAGAATCAGAAATGTTAATCTTGCTATGTTTAAATGTGATGTATCTTGTGCAGAAACCCATTAAAGTAATGTAAAATAAAACAATATAGAGAATGTATGTTCAGGAAGGTGTCTCCTTATTTAAATAAAATATTGTTTGTTTGTAGTTAGTGTTGGGCAATCTTGGGGGGTTTCTTCTCTAATCTTTCAGAAACTTGAGAACACTCTAAATGGACAAGATCAGAAATTGAGCGGAAGAATGAATTTAACTTTAAGGCAGGAAAGACAAATTTTACCCTTCATAAAGTGATGAACATTTAATAATTCCAGGCACATGGCAGTAGAGGCCCTCTAAATAAGGAATAAATACTTAGACAGGTGGGAGATTATGATCAGTGAAACAGGTAACTACACCTACTCTTACCAGTCAGGGGGGTGTAAGTTGGCAGTGGTTCAAGTAGTAAAATGCTGTCCACGTTGCCAGAGTTTGCATGTTAAGTTGAAATGCTTATAATCATCTAGTGTTAGCCAGTTTTATGTGTGGCACTTGGGGTGGGGTTTGTGCATTTTTTAAAGAATTTTCCTTTTCAGAGGCTTCATTTCATCCTTCATGAAGCTGTTCAGGATTTTCACTTGCACATAAGCGCTTGGCTCAGCCTTCTGTTCTAGTGTGGGAGACCCTTGCAGTGTATCAGCGTACTCAAGTAAATTTTTTCCCCCCTGATTCTGGAGGGAAGGGAGGGGAGGGGGTGGGGCTTACTTGTTTTAGCTTTCTTTTTACAGACACACAGAGAATGCAGTTGTCTTGACCTCAGGTCTGGTCTGGTCTGTTGGCAAGTAATAACGCAGTACTGTTCTGATCTGCTGCTATTAGAATGCATTGTGAGACGACTGGAGTATAATTAAAAGTGTTTCCCTCAATGCTTGGAGTAGTGATTGTTAAAGGAAAGTCCAGCTGTGATAAAGGCTTGGGTGTTGAGGAAATTTCTGCAGCTTTAAGCATTCATGTTTGTGATTGAAGCCAAGTACCTTTTGCTGTGCTTCTTTAGGTAAAATGCCTTTTGTTCACTTTTGGTACGGGGGTGGGAGGGGCACTGAAGCCTTTAGTGTTTTCCAGATGCAACCATAAATTAAGTGCCAAGTGCCAAGCAACAGTCTTCAAGAAATTTCACTGGCAAGTGGAAATGTTTTAACAGTTCAGTGATCTTAGTACATTGTCTTTGTGTGGGTTTGTCTCTTCCCCCCCCTCTTGGTTTTAATTCTTACATGCAGGAAATTCAAAGCAACAGATGAATAAGAAGGGCCAGAGAAGCCAGACACCCAGTAAGGAAAAATAGCTTGTTTACTTTCAATAAAACATTACATGTTGAATGTGGGGATTGGGAACCACTAGTTCTTTCAGATGGTACTCTTCAGACTAGAAGGAGCATCCAGTTGAATTCACCAGTGGACAAAATGGTAACAGGTGAATAAGCTTTTTCTGTATTTACATTCTAAGTCAGATCCCTTATAAGTAAATCAGAAAGTAGTTTTTCAGCTTTATGCTGGAGTAAAAAGCATGTCAAGCAGTTGGCTGTTCGCCTGGGGGTGGAGGGGTGAGGTGGGCGCTAAGCCTTTTTTTAAGATTTTTCAGGTACCTCTAAGGGCATCGAAGGCTTAAAGTAGGACAACCATGGAGCCTTCCTGTGGCAAGAGACAACAAAGCGCTATTATACTAAGGTCAATAAAGTGGTGTCAGCCTGGTAACTCCAGCCTCAGCCCCCTTGGCAGACATGCACTGAGGCCTCTGGAGAGCGAAGCATCCAATGGAATGCTTAAGTACCACGTATGCCCCTGGGCTTGCCTTACCTACTTTCAATGAAGCTGTTTTTATAGCAGCTCTTAAAAAGCCCAGACCTGAAGGTTTGAAGGGGGGGAAAGCGGGCAACCACTTTTCCCTAGCTTTTCCAGAAGCCTGTTAAAAGCAAGGTCTCCCCACAAGTGACTTCTCTGCCACATCGCCACCCCCTGCCTTGGGCCTAGTGCAGACCCTTCACCCCTCACCTCGATGCTGCCAGTAGCTTGGATCCTGTGGCATGGTCCATAATCGTTCAAGGTAACAGTGGTGCCAAGGTCTTTGGTGGGTTGCACTACTAGAAAAGGCCATTGATTGACCTGCAAATGGTTTGCAGTAAAACCACAACTAAGCTTTAAGGTGTTTTCAGTATACAGTAGTAGTGTCTAGACTTCAATCAGTAAATAGAGAATAATCTTGAAGAACTGTAATGCTGCTGGGTGGGAAGGTGTAACTCGGTGAAGAAGGAGGCTTTGTAGTGGCTGACAGGGCTGTTGGGTGGGGTTGCAAAATTCCTCTGCTAAGACTTTTTCAGGTGGACATATAGCAGACTTGGCCAAGCTAGCATCTTAGCTGAAGCAGATTCTCCAGTGTTCTTCAGTAGGGTTGTAAAAGGTTTTTCTTTTCCTGAGAAAACAAAAGACTTTGTTTTCTCAGGTTTTGCTTTTTGGCCTTTCCTAACTTTAAAAAAAAAAGCAAAAGACACTGGTGGTTGGCACTCCTGGTTTCCAGGACAGGGTTCAAATCCCTGTGGTGTCTTTGCTTGACTGTAACCCCTGCCTTCAGGACTTGCCACCTTTCCTCCTCTTCCCTTCAGGTGTTCAGTGGGGGAGGTGGAAGGTTCTTGGAATTGGTCAGAGAGGCCTGAATCAGTTTGTATTGATATTTTCATGGGACACTAACTTATTTTGTCTTTAATTTACAGGTATCCCTTAAGCATCTAGTGTTGTGTGAAGCCTCACTATTAAAAACTTAAGATTTCATATTAATAAAAATTGAAACACTCTTTACTGGTGATGAGTCTTGTGTATAAACCAAATTCTGTTTCTGAGGAGGTTGAAAATAGGTGTTTTGCAGGGGGGGCACTCTTCTAGCTTGTTCCTTATTTAATCTAGTACATGGCACAGGGACACAACATGATCTTCATGCAGGGGAGGGACTTGGAGGGGGAAATGGTGTAGGGGGTTAAGAGATGTAAAAACCCAGCCAAGTCCCCACAAAAAAAAATACACTTTGTGTTAAGCAACCTACTTATGTTGAGCAGTTGGCTATGGGCTGGGGTGGAGAGGTGTTTCCATTGCTCCTATGAAAAGGCCTTTGTAAGTTTTGAGTTTAACAGCCAATAAAATGTTCCTCTGAAGTCTTGCTGACTCATGGCCACATCTAATTTGTCAGTGACCAAACAACTACAAGTAGGTCATGTCCCCAGTTCTGTGGAATGGCCTGGATACCAGGTGGTAATTCTCCCTCTTAAATGATGAGATATCCTCATGATCCCACTAAATTCTTGAGGTGCCCTTCTACCAAGGCCCTGTCTCCTGAAAGGGCAGGAGAGGCTCATTAGGGCAAACCCAGCCAGACCTAGGAGGAGGGGGGGCACAGGACCAAAGACACTGCGCAAGTCTCCCAGCCTGGGGACTGATGAGTGGCCATAATAGCCCTGTGGAAGGGTCTGAGTGAACAGCCCTCCCCTGTGTGGACTCAGGAAGGTTCCACGGTGCACAAGGGGAAGCAAGCTGGCTTTGTATCACTTTTGCCAAAGCAGGGCCGGAATTTGAACTGTTGTGGTCCCAGCATTTCAACTCTTGCTGTTCCTTCCGAGCATTAGTGTCCGCACAGCATAGCAGACTACCCCGACCTGCCCAGGCGGGTGCAGGCCCTGCACAGTCTTTCTTCTCCCTTGAAGAGTCCGCACAGCATAGCAGACTACCCCGACCTGCCCAGGCGGGTGCAGGCCCTGCACAGTCTTTCTTCTCCCTTGAAGTGGTCTAATAGGGGCAGTGTTGGGGAGAAGCTGAACTGGACACCCTGGTTACCCGGGTTTGAGTTAAGTGCCTAAACGGAATTAACACTGTCTCAGGGTCTGAAGGAGAGAAGGTCTCACATGGTTTTCCAGAGTTGGGAGGCTCCCTGTAAGTACAAAGACTCCATTGGAGAGCAAAGGAGTAAGGAGGGGCTGGGGATTTGTCAGGAGCGCCTGGTTCCTGCCGTTGTGCCAGGCTCATTGTTACCCAGGTTGGAAGTATGAAGGCGACAGTGACAGGAAGAGGCAGAAAGTGGGCCAGAAGCCACTGCCACCCTCTGAGCCCAAGATGGGAATGGAGAAGGAGGCCCAACACAAAGTACCCTGGTGGCTGTCTAAGTCAAGGAGCTGGCTGTTGATCCACAAACCGCAGGCATGGCCTTCCGGTGCCCCTCCGGATGTACGGGATGCTTTTTCACACCAGTTTCCATAATCCCGGTAATCGCGGCTGTAACAAACTTGAATTCAAGTGGTAGCTACACTGCTTCCCAGCATCTCCAAGCTTTCTCCAAGCCTCCCAGGCCCAGGGCTAGTTAGTATGGACTTGGGCGGATTTCTAACTAAAGTAAATAGGTGAAACGACGAGAGAGAGGATTTGGTAGGAGGGGACAAGGGTGTGGGGGAAAGAGAACGTGGAATTGTTTACCCCAGTTGTTGATTCAGAAACCCGGAAAATCTAGGAGACATGGGTCAAGTCTTGGCTCCTGGCACTGGCAAACTGAAAACTTGGGTTGTCACCTCTCTCCAGGGAACCCCCTCTCTTAAATGAGGGACTTGGGGAACCTGTCAGCCTACTGTGGTAGGAAGAGTAGCCACAGAAGACGGAAGCTGATGGAACTGGAAACGAGTGAGCCTTTGCCACCATCTAGTGAAAGTGTTTAGTATTGCATGAGCTGTCTTTGGGTTACTTCATAATACATTTGCATGTTTGTTCAATATTTTTATTGCTAAATAAATTCCACTGTATGGATATTATAATTTGAATTATTTCCAGTTTTTGGAAATTATGAATTAAGATGCTATAAACATTTGTGTAGAAGACTGTGTTGACATAATGATTTCCCTTTCTTGGTATGTTGTATGGTAGGTGTATGTATAGTTTTAAAAAAAACTTCCAAACTACTTTCCAAAGAGGTCGTGCTACTCTGCATTTTCGCCAACAGTGTATGAGAGTTCCAGTTGCTCCATATTCTCACCATAATTTGGTATGGTCTTTAAGTCTTATCCTTTCTAGTGATATGTAGTGGTATCTCATTGAGGTTTTAATTTTAATTTGCGTTTCTCTAATGAATGATGATATTGAGCATCTTTTCATGTGCTTACTTGCCATTTATGTACCTTCTTTGGTGAAGCGTCTACTTAATTTTTTTGGCCAGTGTTTTTGGGATGTTTATCTTTTTATTGTTGAGTCGTAAGAGCTTTTACATATACTAGTCCTTTGTCAGTGTTATGTTTTGAACCCATAGTCTTCCGGTATGTGCCTTGCCTTTTCATTTTTTGAAACTGTCTTTGAAGAGTTGAAGTTTTAAATCTTGAACAAACCATTGATATGCGCAGTAACACGGAGGAACTTAAAAAATAATTATTGAGAGAGAAGTCAGCTTTTTAAAAGTACATATGGCCTGGTACCATTTATATAAAATTCTCAAAAACTCAAACTCATCTAAAATAGTAGTAGAGTGGGAGTTACAAAGGGGCACAGGCGAGCCTTTTGGGGATGTCCATTGTCCTGACTGGTGGTGTTCCGTGGGTGTACACTAATGTCTAAACTCATCAAATTATATACTTTCAATATTTGCAATTTATTGTACATCAATAAAGCTGTAAAAGAAAGAATGTGTGTGTACGGGAACAAACACCGATGGAACGCTTATTATGTGCCAGACAGAAAATGCTGGGAGTGCATAAAGGAATAACTGACTTTCTTCAGCAGCTCTGAGTCTTGAAATAGAGCAATTTAAACAATGATCATACACTTCCATGTAATAATGTGGAACTCCAGATCCAATCCTGGCTCCTGCACACATGGCTCAGTGCACCTGGGCAAGTTACTTAACCTCTTTAAGCCTCATTTTGTCCTTCTGTTAAATGGGCATAATAATACCTTACCCAGGGCTCTGTCACAAGGAACAGGAGATACATAGATAGCTAGCACTGGGCACCAGCTTAATCAAGGCTCTGCAAGTATTTCTTGTGAAGCACACACTGGAGGAAGGCAGAGGCCATGCTCTCTACCTGAAGAATTCAGGGAGGGCTAGAGCCAGGCAGGGGCCCGCAGGCCGGCCCCAAAGGGAGAAGAGGCGGCTTCTGGATAGACAAGAGAGGGGTTGACTTTCATCTGAGAGAACAGCCTGAGCAGCTTGGAGGTATGAAAATGCAGGACATTAGCGACCCAGGGCGGCCAGGGGGAAGGCTGGGAGAGGGCAGAGGGGGAGGCGCTGGGCGGCTGGCCGGAAGCCGATGGCGATGGCCTGGGAACCCTGGAGGAGTTAGGGCTCTCCCTGGGAGGCAGGCGGTGAGGCAGGCGGCTCAGCGAGGAAAGGGCAGGCAGGCCAGGGGTGAGGGAGTGGCCTGTGGGGCCTGGACTGAGGGAGAGAACGGCTTGGGAAGGGCCCCTGGTTTCTGGCTTCAGAGGCAGGGCAGACAGAGGCGCCATGTCCAGGACAGAGTGGGCTAGGGGAGAGCTGGCATGAAGCCGGGCGCCGGGGAAGACGGTGACGGGAGCGCTGGGCCCCTGAGACGAGAGGCCCCTGGGATGTCCCGTGGATGAGTGGAAGGGACGGGCTGGAACTCAGGGATCAGCCTTGACCAGGTCTGCTGGCTTCCAGGGACCGCGCAGACAGTGACGTCCGCGTAGGCGGGCCGTCGGGGACCACGTGCTGAGGGGCCCGGGCGGGCCTTTCTGTGTGTAGTTCGGTCAGCTCTGGGCCTTTTCTCTTCCTCCTGCCTCTTCAATGTTGTTTCATTCACTCACTCATCTCCAATCTGAGCACGAAGCAGCGCCCAATCCTAGGGCCCGGAGGCACCAGGAGGCACCAGGCAGAGCTGAGCTGTCTTAGAGCCAACACCTGCAGGACAGGTGCACGGCAGAGAGGTTACTGCCCCAGAGAGGAAGCCCAGGATGCAGGGTGGGGCTGGAGCCAGGACGTGGGCAAGCAGGGAAGGCGTCCCAGAGGCGGGGCCGCTGGAGCTCAGCCGGCCTTCCTCCCTCCCCGTCAGCAGCTTCCATGGAGATGCAGCCTCCTCTGCTTCTCAAACCTTCCGTTCAGCTCTGGGTTGGGCGCCCCCACTTGGGGGTCCACCTCCCTGCAGGAGGTGTTCCCCAACTCCTCCATTTCTGGTGGCATCTCCAATGCATGCCTCCTCTTTCACCTCTGCCAGCTGGACACTTTCCTGCTCACTGTGGCCTGGCACCAGGCCACCCCCTGCCATCTCCCAGAGGCCACCACCACCAGGGTGTCTTCCAGACCCACAGGGCCTACCAAGACCCTCCTCTACTCCCTGCTCACCTCCTTCACTGACTCCCTGAGGGTTGCTGCTGGATTCTGCTTGTACCCTCCTCACCTGCTTGACTGGCAGTCCCTTCCCACTAAAGGAGCTGTCTGCTCCCCACACACAGCCCCTCACTGTCTCATCACTGGCCTTCCCTCATGCCTTCTCCCTGCTGTAATATTCTCCCACCTGCTTATCGCCAGCATACATGCTACTCCTGCCTCCAGCTTCAGGTCCGGAGTCCCCGGGGTGCCCGGATCCTTGTCTGACTCCCCCTGCAGGCCCTGCTGCACCCTCCTGCTTGCTGACTCCTAACAATACTGCACAAACCACCCATGGGCAATAGCTGAGGTCTGACCCCAGGGGACCTGGCACACGCCCATTCACACTCACCTCACGGCCAACTGTGGCCCGGCCTGGTGACAGAGCGGACACGGGCCCTGTGCTCAAGCAGCTCATACGTCAGCCCTGCCTTCCACGCTGGGTGCCCA